TCTTTTAAGAGGAGAGTTTTCTTCCTGTTAAGCATGGGGATCTCTAAGTTTTATATTAGTTATTATCATTTTTCTTAAAGAGATGTTTGTTTCAAAATCAAATAAGAAGTAGGACTTTGGTTGTTACATTATGAAGCGTGTGCAGCAGCCAGGCTCTGTTTTCTGAGCACTGTCCTTAGACTGAATCTAGAGTGAAGACTAATTTCCAATGATCTCCATTATAAAATAAGTGTCTTTGTACTGTTACAGCATCAAAGAAATAAACATATCTCAAAGATAATAAAACTTTATGCATCACATTGTATTACTTATCTATTTTTTTTAAAGAGATCTAATAATGGACCAATTGAAACAATTCATTAAATAAGACTTGTAGTTACATAATGTTAATGAATTGCAAACACAGTATGTATTTTCACCGGAATCGAATTACTTGTGTTCATGCATAGTTCCTAAATATTCTGTGGTATTTGTGTTCCAAAACAGTTGTGGTGAGACTCTTTAGTAATAGGACTCAGCTCTGGAGAGAGAATAAGTATGCTAAGACATTAGAGCTTTATCACAGTTTCCTTCATTGTTTTAATAAATTCCTAGCTCTTTACATACACGAGACTTATAATAAATGTTCCCTAACTTAATTAAACTTTGATATGAATTAGAAGACGCTACTATTAAAATTGTATCATAATTTTTTATTAAGAAACAAAACACAAGAAGCCTTTAGATTGTGCTATTTTCTTTATTAGGAGATACATGGAAACCATAAATTTTTCTGAAATGTGATTACTAATAGGACTTTATAAAAATTATATGATACAGTATGGTCTGTTGAAAAGGTTAGCAAGTCTATATCCTAAGATAAAAATCAGTATACTTTTTGCCTATCAGTAATGAAATATTCTTTGGAAAATATGATCCTGAATATTGCTGTTCTTTTCAATTGAATATTTATGTTGTTTATGAGTTCTGGCTGACATAGATCTGTGATTTTGGGTGTGTCATATATTTAGATCCTCTACAGATGAACTGATGTGTTCTAGACAGGAAGTGGTATGTAGGAGCTATAGGAATGGGCTGAAGTATCCTTTATATTTGCCTTTGTATCTAGGGGAGTTGGAAATAGGCAAGAATGGAGAGAAATTTTGTATGGCAGTTCACAGAATTTTGCAAGTGTATTGTGAGCCCTGCAGCAATCCGATGCATTTTAGTTACTGGTAAGTTTGTTAAATTACGTTTGCAAATGTACATCTTCGAAGATGGCCTTCTAATTACTATTACGTCCACCATGTCAAATTTAAAGATCTTTTGAAAAGATAAGGTATAGCAACTGCATTGGGTTTTACAGATAAGTTAAAAGAACGTTTGCTAGTTGACGTTTTGCTAGTTGAATGTTTGCTAGTTTGCATTTGACATTTCAATAATTGCCACAGTTAAAGCTGGATGAAGTTAACATTCATGGACAGCACAGTCATGAATGAAGGGATTTGGAATAATAGTAAAATCAATACATCTCAGATAATTCATTTGAGAAACAGTGGTCTTCTCACATCTTAGTAATTTTATGTGGTTCTGGGTACAAAAATGATTTGTTGTAAGAAATATCTCCCCCTCTCATTCTTTCATGAACTTTAGAGCTCATAGGGAAGCATTTTAGTCTTTCTTTTTGGCAATACTGATGTTTCATTTTCGAGTCCCTGGGGATACAAGTCATTAAGCAAATTGTTTGAACTAGTAACCAAAATTGGTGGTTCAAACTCCCCCAGAGGCATGCTAGAAGGTAAAGCCAGGTAAACTGCCTGTGAGCCCTCCCGGCCATGACTCCCCATGAAGCAGTCGTAGTCTACACACCTGGGGTGGCCCTGCCAGCATGGTGTCAGAATCCTGCTCCCCTCCCCCCAAGTAGAAGACCATGGACAGATTGGGAAATTGTGTCATCTCTCCAACCTTTTTTTTCACTCTTCTCAGTTAGACATTATATGTTATTTGTGATAGTACACACACAATTATTTATTAAGTGGCCTTAAATAGTGACTCAGTTAATTTAAAATGGAACAGATTGTTTACTAGCTGTACTGCTTTAAAGAAATATTCTTAAAATGTCAAAAAGATTTGCTGGAACTGTGTTTTACTTGTAAATATAAAATTGAACTTGATAAAATAAAGATTCTATTAATTTGTAAACTGTTAATTTTGTTTTCTCTCTTTCTTTGGCTTAAAGCAGTAGGAACAGTTCATGTAATTTAATTTTAATTTCTTGTAATGAATACTTTTTTGGATACCTTTTTCTGTGTAGTTGATACCATCCACCAAACTATTAATTTTAAAAATATTTAT